ACTCCCACGCTTCTTTCGTCCTCTCCAAACTTCCCACGTTCTCCATAACTCGATAGTGCACGCTAAATCATGAACCAATTGTTAATTAGAAAGAACTTTGTTTGTTTGTGTAGCTTAAGTATGCAGCAGGTGCAAGCAATGCTGCCAAGATGGCGGCCCTCGAGAAATGGGCGGCAGAAGATGCTAAAATTCCAAAACAAGATTCACAAAAAGATCATCCTGACGTCCTATCTCTGATTACTCGGTAAGACGTGTAGCGCTTAAATTGAAACATAAATGATATGATGATGTGTTTGTTTCACTATCTTAACTCTGACTGAAACGTGTGCAAGCACAAGTGACGTTCAGTCTACGCAAAATATTTGCCTACCGATGATAAAAAGAAAAATCGAAATAAGTTGAACGACGTAGGGCATTATGGCGAGGAGGCGCAGACGTCACGAAATAATGGCTTAGACATTGCCATCAAATTTGACATTGACATTAAGTTTGACATTGACATTGGCATTGGCATTGGCATTGGCATTGCCATTGATATTGACATTGACATTGACATTAATATAAACAGTGACATGAATTTTTACATTGATATTCAGATTGACAGTGATATTAATTTTTGACACTGCCATTGACGATGATATTGACTTGATTTTGACACTCAAATTGACATCGAGCTTGACTTGGCGACGTCAACTAGTGCACACCACTAGAAACACAAGGGAAAAACCTCACCGCATAAGGTCATCATCTTGAAATTGGGAGCATACAGACATGTTAACATGGATAGCAGTATTACAACATAAAAGCCTGCAGAGTCAGGCAGAAAAATTGATATTTTCTGGATGTCGTTGTAAGTAACGATGTCCTCATGCCGTGCACGAATGAACCAGACTTAACCCTTTAAACCCCAAAAATGACCAGTATCTAATTTTCCTTTTCAGTAATACAGCTGAACCACAAATTAAGATCATGCGAATAAAGGAAATCAGCACCATCCCGGGAAGCATTGATTGTTAAACAAATTCTCTCTGCTTGTACCCAAGGAAATGTATTACAAAAATTATTACACGACTCGGGCAGTCAGAGGGCCAATAACTAAAAT